TGTGTGTGTGTGTGATGAGGTAGAGGGCGCCACGAGGAGTGATGAGGAGGGTCCACAACAACCTTGAGGAAGTCAGGCAACACAACATGTTGGTTAGTATGATGAGTAGGTGAGTTCTGTGGCTCCCTCACACCTCACTACACACCTACTACACTCCACTCACTACACACCTGGCGGTGCCTCGCTCCCTCACGTGGTACACATGGCCCCGCGTGACGTGATGCAAGCCTGTGTTACCCGTGCCTGTGTCAGGTGTGTGTGTGTGTGTGTGTGTGTGTGTGTGTGTGTGTGTGTGTGTGTGTGTGTGTGTGTGTGTGTGTGTGTGTGTGGTGGAGAAGTGTGACGTTTCAAGACCCGTGTCGTATTGCTTCTTTGTGGCGGTTGTAACGCTATCGGGGCGTGTATGACAGGCTGATTGCAGTGTTGCAGGGGCTGGTCAACATGCACAGGTGTGGCAGGGTTGGGCAGGGCGTGAGACTGAAGGTAAGCGGGAGATACACACACCTGCTGGATCACCTCAACTCGGGAGACACACACACACACACACACACCTGCTGGATCACCTCAACTCGGGAGACACACACACACACACACCTGCTGGATAACCTCAACTCGGGAGACACACACATACACACACACCTGCTGGATCACTTTAATGTGGGTGTTGAAGTCGCCACAGACACGGTCCCTCCCGTCAACACTGCTCTCAGGTGTGTGTCGCGCCTCACAACCTGGGGCCAGATTCAAGAAAGCACTTACGCAAACACTTACGAACCTGTACATCTTTTCTCAATCTTTGGCGGCTTTGTTTACAATTATTAAACAGTTAATGAGCTCCGAAGCACCAGGAGGCTGTTTATAACAATAACAACAGTTGATTGGCAAGTTTTCATGCTTGTAAACTGTTTAATAAATGTAACCAAAGCCGTCAAAGATTGAGGAAAGATGTACAGGTTCGTAAGTGTTTGCGTAAGTGCTTTCGTGAATCTGGCCCCCGTCTTCCACGGGGTCAAGCCCTCAGCTACGATGCTCAAGTGTTGTTTCGGAACACAAATATTAGGCAACTGGAAGTGGCTGTCAGGAGAGAAGATAGACTTAACTTTGTAGTGGGCCGCTGACTTGTTAGTTGTATCATCTGTGGTGGACCACGATCAACCGTGGACATCTTCAAGAGGAAACTAGATTTATTCCTCCAAGGAGTGCCGCACCAACCGGGCTGTGGTGGGTCTGTGGGCCGCTCCAAGCAACAGCCTGGTGGACCAAACTGTCACAAGTCAAGTCTGGCCTCGGGCCGGGCTTGGGGAGTAGAAGAACTCCCAGAACCCCATCAACCAGGTATCAACCAGGTATCAACCACCTCCCTCCACTCTTCTGCTCCACACACACACACACACACACACACACACACACACACACACACACACACACACACACACACACCAAGCAGTGTGTGTTACACAGGATGGGTTTAATGAAGACAGGAAGGTAGCAAGAACCATCAGGGAGGAAGAAAAGCAGACGAGAAGCGCAAGGAGACCAGAGATGACACAGTGCACAGCAAGAAGCAAATATGATAGCATTAAGTACCACACGAGCAAATAGTGAAGACTGAGAAGTTTCACGAAGCAATAGAGAGCATTGTAGAGGGAGAGACAGAAGCTGGCCAACGTGACGAAGCCCAAACTGAAGCGAGCAGGAACGTTCGACTCTGTCATCATACACTGCCTTCCAATGCCTGCACAAATGCAGATGGAATTACAAATAAAGGGGCAGAGATGAAGGAAAGAGCGACAGAACAACAACCCCACACATGATCACTTCATCCCCTCTCCTACCACCACCCCCTCCACCACTTACACTGCTACTGGCAGTGTCCTTGACTGCCTGCAACCTGTGTTGAGTTCAGGGTCCTCTGTAGTGAAAAAATCATCCCCTCTTTTTGTGCAAATCGCGAGAGACCGGGGGGGGGGGGCAGGAACGGTCAAACACACGCACACACGTAAATATATATATATATATATATATATATATATATATATATATATATATATATATATATATATATATATATATATATATATATATCGGTGAATACAACTGAAAGTTTTAGATTAATGATTCTGGCACGAATCTTATGTTTTTGTTCACTGAAGCAGGAAGCTGAAAATTTAACTCTCCAAATTTCATTTTAACACTTTTTATTGGATCTGGTGCCTAGTGATGCGTTTCGCAAGGTTACTCCTTACATTAAGGAGTGACCTTATTGTTAGGAGTGACCCCTGGTCAGGTCACAGAGTTCTTAGTGATATATATCATATTATATACAATTATACACACATTCATATGTAAGGTTAATGCTTATATAGTGATAATGGTCGCATCCTGGCAGGTACATGGTGGGGAAGCCATTTGAACCAAGATGGCAGGTGTGGCCAAGTTCCCCTGGTGGCCCCCACAAACACCCCCCAACACCCACCAGCACCCCCCAACACCCCCACTATACACTCCCTCACCACCCTCCCTCAGTGTACATGTTTACACTGCTAGTTCCTCCCTCATTAAGTCTTGTAGAAGCTTGCAAGACTGATCTTCCTTGCGGTGTTTTGTGTCGAGGAAATACATCTTATATTAATAACTTCTATACACTTCACAGCGACAGTAAATGTTGGCTATACTGCACAGCGCTCAGGAGGATGTGTTCTACCGCTCACAGGATGGGTATGGTGGTCCACTACCACTCACAGGATGGGTATGGGGGTCCACTACCACTCACAGGATGGGTATGGGGGTCCACTACCACTCACAGGATGGGTATGAGGTCCACTACCACTCACAGGATGGGTATGGGGTCCACTACCACTCACAGGATGGGTATGGGGTCCACTATCACTCACAGGATGGGTATGGGGTCCACTACCACTCACAGGATGGGTATGGGGTCCACTACCACTCACAGGATGGGTATGGGGTCCACTACCACTCACAGGATGGGTATGGGGGTCCACTACCACTCACAGGATGGGTATGGGGGTCCACTACCACTCACAGGATGGGTATGGGGGTCCACTACCACTCACAGGATGGGTATGGGGGTCCACTACCACTCACAGGATGGGTATGGGGTCCACTACCACTCACAGGATGGGTATGGGGGTCCACTACCACTCACAGGATGGGTATGGGGGTCCACTACCACTCACAGGATGGGTATGGGGGTCCACTACCACTCACAGGATGGGTATGGGGTCCACTACCACTCACAGGATGGGTATGGGGGTCCACTACCACTCACAGGATGGGTATGGGGGTCCACTACCACTCACACGATGGGCACGATGAGGTATACAATAAATGATCAAAACTAAAAAGAGCAGGCGCAGTTAGAGATTACTGGGCAGGAGGCACAGTGGGAGACCCACCACCTGGCGCAGCGTTGCAGGAGGCGCAGTGGGACACCCACCACCTGGCGCAGCGTTGCAGGAGGCGCAGTGGGACACCCACCACCTGGCGCTGTAGCAGGAGGCGCAGTGGGACACCCACCACCTGGCGCTGTAGCAGGAGGCGCAGTGGGACACCCACCACCTGGCGCTGTAGCAGGAGGCGCAGTGGGACACCCACCACCTGGCGCTGTAGCAGGAGGCGCAGTGGGACACCCACCACCTGGCGCTGTAGCAGGAGGCGCAGTGGGACACCCACCACCTGGCGCAGCGTTGCAGGAAAGGGAGGAAGTGCGCAGTTAATTAAAGAAGGTTGTCTTGGGGGTAGTTGTGGGTCTTCTTCCGGTGGTGCGTCCCTACTGGTCACCGCCCACCTGCACCCACCAGCCCACCTGCACCCACCAGCCCACCTGCACCCACCAGCCCACCTGGACCATTTACTGGCCACGTGGACCACTTTCAGCCCATTTGAGCCACTGTAAACTCACCTTGGCCCACTTAGAGCCTATTTGAACCATTTTCAGTTCACCTGGACCCACCACCAGTCCACCTGGACCCACCACCAGTCCACCTGGACCCACCTGGACCCACCACCAGTCCACCTGGACCCACCACCAGTCCACCTGGACCCACCACCAGTCCACCTGGACCCACCTGGACCCACCACCAGTCCACCTGGACCCACCACCAGTCCACCTGGACCCACCTGGACCCACCACCAGTCCACCTGGACCCACCACCAGTCCACCTGGACCCACCACCAGTCCACCTGGACCCACCAGCAGTCCACCTGGACCCACCACCAACCCACCTGGACCCACCACCAGTCCACCTGGACCCACCAGCAGTCCACCTGGACCCACCAGCAGTCCACCTGGACCCACCACCAATCCACCTGGACCCACCACCAGTCCACCTGGACCCACCTGGACCCACCACCAGTCCACCTGGACCCACCACCAGTCCACCTGGACCCACCAGCAGTCCACCTGGACCCACCACCAGTCCACCTGGACCCACCACCAGTCCACCTGGACCCACCTGGACCCACCTCCACCTACAGCCGTTGGCAGTTTGTTTTCTTGTGACTGTGTTATTGAAGAGGCGGCGACGGCTGGCAACGTTGTCCTTGGAAGACAAACTGAAGTGTTCAGTGAGAGACTGTTGACACGCAGCTTGTTGTTGGCTCACTCAACGGTTTCACTCAACACACACACACACTCAACACCTCCCATGGTAGAGTCGGCGCCATGTTATAACTCCCACAAATTTGAAAGATATTAGGCTTGTCGTTGGCACGCTGTATTGAAGGGTTATGTTATTGCCGTCTGCAGTGCGGTCGGCAATATTGCTGTCTGTCTGTCTCTCTGTGCTCTAATAGTTCCCCTCACTGTTGCTCACATCTCCACTCGCTCCTCAGCCACGCTTGCAAGCTGCATCAGCCACCTCGTGCAAGCAGAAAGATAAATTCACTACAAATTCAGTTGAGAGTGCGTGCGTGGCAATCCGTGTGGCTGGCCAGAGCCGGAGCATAAACGTTGTGTGGAAGCAGCGCTCAGTGTTAAGGTAACCTCGGTAGGGGTAGTGCGTGTGCTCCGACCCGTCTCCTCCTTATCACATATTTGTATATGATTTATAATCAGCTTCCTTTGGCCCCTCATGCGAGTGACGGTGATACGCGGCGCAGGAGTGCAGGGAAGCCTGTGCGGCAGTGGTGGCGAAGCACTCATGAAGTGGTTTTTTTTCCCTGTAATATATATTACAGCGAGAGGGTTACCATACCTGCAGACGGGCTCCTCCCACGGCCGGAACTGACCCTCGAGGCAGCTGGTCCTCGGGGTAAGTCCTCCCACACTCCTGGCAACCTCCACCTTCAGTACCGCGGCTACGGCCAGGGGCGCTGAGTACCTGCATGCTCAGGTATGGTGCTGCCCACGACTGGGTACAGTGGTACCTAGGGCTGGGTACACTGGTACCCAGGACTGGGTACAGTGGTACCCTGGACTGGGTATAGTGGTAATCAGGACAGGGTACGGTGGTGCCCAGGGGCCAGATTCACGAAACAGTTACGCAAGCACTTACGAACATGTTCATCTTTTCCTCAATCTTTGGCGGCTTTGTTTACAATTATTAAACAGTTAATGAGCTCCGAAGCACCAGGAGGCTGTTTATAACAATAACAACAGTTGATTGACAAGTTTTCATGCCTGTAAACTGTTTAATAAATGTAACCAAAGCCGTCAAAGATTGAGGAAAGATATACACGTTCGTAAGTACTTGCGTAACTGCTTCGTGAATCTGGCCCCTACAGTGGTACCCAGGACGGTACAAAGTCATTCCTCGTTGTAAACTTGACATTTGGAAGTGAAGCACGTGATCTTGAAGATGTTTGATACACCACCTGAGGCCTCACCCTGCACCTTAAGGGTGTCTCATGTATACCATACATCACTCTGAAGGCTTCCTTAGACTATCTAAGTTACTTTAGCTATTGAGACTGTTGCTAGTGTTGCTCCTGTGTGTATGTCTCTATATGCTACTAACGTAGCATATACAACGTAGCTTGCAACTCACTCCCTACTGAATTGAAAAGCTGTCCAACTTTTACATCATTCAAAATCAATACTAAAAAGTACCTAATTTCATCTTCATAGTTTTTCACTTTTTGCCTTAAAATTGCTACCCAATCTCCCAACCTTTATGTTCCCAATTTGAACATCTTTACCATTGTGATCATTGCTGTTTTCTTATATGTGCTGCCAATCTGTTGTATGGTGTTTATAAATCTTGTTTATCTGTCTCTTTTGCTACCCAGTCTCCCAATCTTTATGTACCCAATCTGAACATCTTTACCATTGTGATCATTGCTGTCTTCTTATATGTGCTGCCAATCTGCTGTATGGTGTCTATTAATCTTGTTTAAATTACTAATCAAGCTGTCAATGTAATCAATCAGAGCTTTAATATAACAATGTGCTTTAATATACCTACTTATCTCTCTCATCTCATTTTTATCTTGTAATGTATCTTTATCATTTATCAATTTTGATTGAAATTACCTACTTAAAATTATCTGCTTGATTAAGGACCTGCCCGAAACGCTGCGCGTACTAGTGGCTTTACAAGAATGTAAATACTGTACTATCCAATGTATTCTCACTAACCCAATGTACCTTCTTGTATATATATATATATATATATATATATATATATATATATATATATATATATAAATAAATAAATAAATAAATAAACGATATCCTGGGAATGTTTCCGTAATGGCTTGGCGCTTTCCCCCTGACAAATCCCTTCAGGAGGTGGAAGCAGCTCTAAGTATGACTCGTGAGGACTACTGTCTACATAACTATGCACTCTTCAAGACTCAGTAGTGACTCGTGAAAGGATCGCTAAAGTTTGGCAAGACCCGCTTATATTTACCTATAATCTTTTTAGCTCCGTATTGTTTGAAACTTGAATATGGACAAATTGGTGTACAGTATTTTGTTTAGGTCATTAGTAAGCTGTGTGATTGGTATAGGTGCTTGTCCGCTCCTCTTACTCCAGTGTCTCTCCTGTGTGTGTGTCTCTCCTGTGTGTATGTGTCTTCTGTGTGTGTGTGTCTCTCCTGTGTGTATGTCTCTCCTGTGTGTGTGCCTCTCCTGTGTGTGTGCCTCCTGTGTGTGTGTCTCTCCTGTGTGTGTGTCTCTCCTGTGTGTGTGTCTCTCCTGTGTGTGTCTCTCCTGTGTGTGTGTCTCTCCTGTGTGTGTGTCTCTCCTGTGTGTGTGTCTCTCCTGTGTGTGTGTCTCTCCTGTGTGTGTGTCTCTCCTGTGTGTGTGTCTCTCCTGTGTGTGTGTCTCTCCTGTGTGTGTGTCTCTCCTGTGTGTGTGTCTCTCCTGTGTGTGTGTCTCTCCTGTGTGTGTGTCTCTCCTGTGTGTGTGTCTCTCCTGTGTGTGTGTGTCTCTCCTGTGTGTGTGTCTCTCCTGTGTGTATGTCTCTCCTGTGTGTGTGTCTCTCCTGTGTGTGTGCCTATCCTGTGTGTATGTCTCTCCTGTGTGTACGTCTCTCCAGTGTGTGTGGGACGCTGCCTCACCATCACATCTTTTCCTGCTTCCTAGTTCGCATCTTGTTGTTGTCTGGAACTCTGCCGTGCTGCTGGATTACAGGCGAATACATATACAATGTTGAGGAGGCTGTGTGTACTATTGCAAGCTGTGTGTGACGGTGTTTGGGAGCTGTGTAGGGATCCAGTCGGAGCCCAGTCGCTGAAGCACGCGTCACTCGATCATTCAAGTTAAATACTGTTGGGTGTGGCTAGTGGTCGGATGGGTGAAAACATGAATATGTCGCTCTTGGTATAAAGGCTACTTCATACGCCTAGATTAACAGGCTTCCTGTCACCGGCAATGCCACAGTTGTTGTATATGTTCCCGTTAGTGAGCGTTGATCCACTTGTTGAATGAGACGTTGATCGTTAAACCATATTAAATGAACATAAATAGTAATTAGCTGGATATTACATGTAAGTGAATGTTGCAACATTGTATATGTTGTCCATAGTTTAATGACGATAGTTAAGCTTAATAATGTAGTGGTATGAAGGAAGTCTTGGTGTAGGTTATGTGTTGGTGCAGGGAATGGTGGTGGTGGTTGGTGTGGTTGTTGTGGTGACTGGTAGTGAGGGAGGGGTGGAGAGCAGAGGCCAGCACCAGCTGAGGGCAGGGAAGGCAAGGCAGAGTAGGTCAGGGCGTGTGGACCACAGAGTCCAGTCACCGTACTGGCGGCGGCGGCGGGGTTCGTGCTGCTGCAAATATGGCGGCTTGGGTCATGGGGACACCACGGGGCTCCTGCGGACCTGCTGGGCTGGTCCTCCAGGTGGGGGGTGGGACTGCAGGTTAGTCATGAGGCGTGTGGTACATGGGGGGACACTAGTGAGACATGAGGAGCAGTGATGGGTCTAGGGGTTGGGTGGTGGTTCCTGTAGTGGTAGTATGAGGTAGTGAGGCAGTGTCTTATACACTTAGTGTCGTATACACCTGGGGTATATTATAAGTTTATCCGCGCTGGTCCAGTCACGCGCGCGCAGGTGCACTTTCACGTGCGCAGGCGCACATGTCCCACGTACTTGCCTAATTTGCATTTAGGCGAGTTCGTGCGTAGTTGCGCATGTAGAGTCGCACATGCGCTGGAAGGGTGCGCTCAAGACAGCATGCAGTTGTTTTGTACCACTAAAACATTAGTGTTATTTATCACGGAGGCGACAGAATACGTTATCATCCCAGGGCAGTAGGCAAGCCTGGAGAGTGGCGGGGTGTTGGGTGCACATGTGGTGTGGTGATTATAGTGTGTGTGTTGGTAGTGCTAGCACGCACACCCCAGGACCCTCACCTCTCACACGCTGCACTTCATCAAGGACTTCTCTCAGGTGTATCCTATCCTCACCACGCTCCCTCTACCCGCCTGCATCTTTGTTGTGGTGGAGGTGGCGGCGGCGGGGATGTGGTAGTGGTGGTGGTGTGGTGGTGGCGTGTGGTGGTGGCGTGTGGTGGTGGTGGTGGTGGCGTGTGGTGGTGGCGTGTGGTGGTGGTGGCGGGGATGTGGTGGTGGTGGTGGTGGTGTGGTGACACAGCAGTACAGTATAGGGGGGAAACACAACAGACCACAATACTTGCTTGTGGTCCCAGGCTTTAGTGAACCCCACAGTACAGACCTGGGGCCAGATTCACTAAGCAGTTACGCAAGCACTTACGAACGTGTACATCTTTCCTCAATCTTTGACGGCTTTGGTTGACTTATTTATCAGTTTACAAGCATGAAAACTTGCCAATCAACTGTTGTTATTGTTATAAACAGCCTCCTGGTGCTTCGGAGCTCATTAATTGTTTAATAATTGTAAACAAAGCCGCCAAAGATTGAGAAAAGATGCACAGGTTCTTAAGTGCTTGCGTAACTGCTTCGTGAATCTGGCCCCAGGTCCAGAAGCAGATCACGGCGCAATAGGCCAGACGCCTCGTCCCTGGACGCCTCGTCCCTGGACGCCCCGTCCCTGGACGCTCCGTCCCTGGACGCCCAAGACACCACTGGGTAGAGCAGGGACGAGGGACCCATCCCATTACACCGCCTCGCTCACACAAACATGAGGTGGTTGTGCAAGTGTAGTGGTGGTGGTGGTGGTGGTGGTGGTGGTGACGGTGGTGGTTGTAATACATAAATCCTGATACTTAGTATATGTCTTGAGGTGATATAAGCGGTGGTGAGGTAGTTATGAGAGAGCACTAGCCCGGTACCACCACCACCACCACCGGATATAAGCACAAGCTGCTGGGATAGGATGGATGGTACCTAACCACCTGGACCGTCGGGGATCGAACGTCCAAGTAAGGTAATAGTGTGTATTTTGTACATTAGTCAGTGTGGCCTGGTTGGAAGCTCACTCGAGACCTGCTTCACTCACCCCAGAACAACTCTAACTTTCTAACTGTGTATATCAATTCTTTACGTCAGACTGCGAACAGCGGCGTCTAACAGTGTGGTTGTCCAGAACACCAACCAGGAGGCCTGGTGGGTGCTCCCCTTTGCTCGACCGGGCCGAGGGGACATTGATCCTAGGAATAACCTCAAGGTAACCGCAAGGTATATAATAAGTGATTTATTATATACCTTGCAGTGGTGGTAGCGGGTGACCACTGCCACGACCTGCTGCATGGGTAACAGCTTCTCCATATCAGCCTATCCTGGCTTTGCGCCCTGGAGAGGCCACTCCAGACCGACAACCAGAGCCCAACTCCACAGTCTCCTGAGACTGATGGATGCCTACATATATGAAAAGAAAGAGCCGTTACTAGAGCCCACAAGGGCGTCGTGGAGGCTCCCTCGACACACGTGGGGAGTCACAATAGACTTGTAAACAAGAAGTGGTCCCCAATCACCACTTACAAGTGTTTACTTGTAAGTGGTGATCAGCAGGCACTGGCAGTGTCTCGCTCTCAGTGTGAGGTGTTCAGTCAGGGGAACGCGGAAGAGGCACGTGTTAGAGTCATGTTGGTCACCACTGTATCACCACCACCAGCCCAGGTGTCATTGTCACAATCTGGTGTTTACACTTGTCATCGCCTGTATCTTAGGGTATACACTCGCTCCTCGCCTCTCCTTATTTAGTCTACCGGGTCTTAAATGGTGCAACTGTTAATCGGTCACCATTTTTTCCTTGTGGTGAATGGGTAATCCCCAGAGCCAGTTGGTGACGCAATGTTTGGCCCGCGGCTGGACGGGTCTGGAGTCACCAGCAGCGGAGCTGGAAGCCAACACAGCTACAACAACAACAGCACTAGTAACAGCAGCAGCACCACCAGCAGCAGCACCAGCAGCACCACCACCAGCAGCAGCAGCAGCAGCAGCACCAGCAGTATCAGTAGCAGCAGCAGTAGCGAGGGGTCAAGACATCTGTGGCAGGCGTAGCACTGCATCACAGACAAGCACCAGGTGGCCCTCACACCCACTGGCTGGTGATGGCCACGGTCACGGCCAGTAACATCTGCCTGAGGGTGTCTGGGCGTGACGTGGGCTGTGTCACCGGTGTCCCACAGCCTACAGTGACCAGTGGGCTGTGTCACAGGTGTCGCCACAGCCTACAGTGACCAGTGGACCACCAACAGCTCGTAAAGAGTTTAATGAATGTAAACACAGCCACGGTGATTGTCGAACAGATGACAGGTGTGGTAAGTGGTAGGCGTACACGCTTACTGAACGGTAGCCCTGGTGTCCAAGGAAGAGTGCCGGGTGTGGATACCTCACACAACTAGTGGGGAGTGCGTGCATCCGGCTAATATGAGCCAGTACCCGTTGCTGGGGTGTTCATTCTCTGGGTGAGTGACGCTGACCAATACACGCGCCTGGGGACATATATAAACCACCTGTCTGTACGAGGTGTGTATGTATAACCCACCTGTATGTACGAGGCGTGACCTGCCGTGGGAAATATAGATAAGGAACCATTGAGAATATTGTACCAAACCTACACAAGACCGAGTATATAGCACCAGGGTGGAACCTATACCTTGCCAGAGCACACGAGCAGAATCTGACTATATTTCGAGGGTGTCCAACACCAAGACGACGCCAGGACTGAGAGATGTGTCCAACGGACGAGAGAGAGAGAGAGAGAGAGAGAGAGAGAGAGAGAGAGAGAGAGAGAGAGAGAGAGAGAGAGAGAGAGAGAGTGAGTGTGTGTGTGTGGGGGTGTGTGTGGGGGTGTGTGTGGGTGTGTGTGTGTGGGGGTGTGTGGTGGAGGGTGTTGAACCTTCGAAGATACACACCAGCATTAGTGTTGCCAAGACCCGTCACGGGTTGCAGACCAGACACGAGTGTTTATAGTATAAAAAGTTTGAGGTGTTGCGAGAGAGAGAAAGGTGTTGGGGGAAGAGGCTCACTGAGGCGTTGAGAGGCGCTGACTTGCAATGACGCGGGAAAGTCAGGAGGATCAACGGCCGTCTCTGCGCGCGTCGCCTCCTCCTCCTCCTCCACAACCTCCACAACAACTGGGTCCCAGTTGGTGGCGGCTTCTGGTAATGGGGTCCACCGCCACAATACTGGAAAGAGAGCAAATTAATTGGTTCAGGGGCATGAAGTAAATACCGGGTACTGGTCCGAGGCGAGCAATTTAAAACATGTATGTTGTTGAATACACTGCCGTGCTCTCTCTGGGGAAACACCTGACTCTCACACTGCACCAGGTCCTAGTAGTAACACACAGGGCTGGGCGGACTGCATTTTCTTGGATTGTCAGAAAGCCTTTGCCACAGTACCGCATAAGAAGCTGGTACATAAGCTGGAGAGACAGGCAGGTGTAGCTGGTAAGGTGCTCCAGTGGATAAGGGAGTACCTAAGCAATAGGAAGCAGAATTACGGTGAGGGGTGAGACCTACGATTGGCGTGAAGTCACCAGTGGAGTCCCACAGGGCTCTGTACTCGGTCCTATCTTGTTTCTGATATATGTAAATGATCTCCCGGAGGGTATAGATTCATTTCTCTCAATGTTTGCGGACGATGCTAAAATTATCAGAAGGATTAAAACAGAAGAGGACTGTTTGAGGCTTCAAGAAGACCTAGACAAGCTGAAGGAATGGTCGAACAAATGGTTGTTAGAGTTTAACCCAACCAAATGTAATGTAATGAAGATAGGTGTAGGGAGCAGGAGGCCAGATACAAGGTATCATCTGGGAGAGGAAATTCTTCAGGAGTCAGAGAAAGAAAAAGACTTGGGGGTTGATATCACGCCAGACCTGTCTCCTGCAGGACATATCAAGAGGATAACATCAGCGGCATACGCCAGGTTGGCCAACATACGAACGGCATTCAGAAACTTGTGTAAAGAATCATTCAGAACTTTGTATACCACATATGTCAGGCCAATCCTGGAGTATGCAGCCCCAGCATGGAGTCCATATCTAGTCAAGGATAAGACTAAACTGGAAAAGGTTCAAAGGTTTGCCACCAGACTAGTACCCGAGCTGAGTGGTATGAGCTACGAGGAGAGACTACGGGAATTAAACCTTATTTCGCTGGAAGACAGAAGAGTTAGGGGGGACATGATCACCACATTCAAGATTCTGAAGGGAATTGATAGGGTAGATAAAGACAGGCTATTTAACACAAGGGGCACACGCACAAGGGGATACAGATGAAAACTGAGTGCCCAAATGAGCCACAGAGATATTAGAAAGAACTTTTTTAGTGTCAGAGTGGTTGACAAATGGAATGCATTAGGAAGTGATGTGGTGGAGGCTGACTCCATACACAGTTTCAAGTGTAGATATGATAGAGCCCAATAGGCTCAGGAACCTGTACACCTGTTGATTGACAGTTGAGAGGCGGGACCAAAGAGCCAGAGCTCAACCCCCCGCAAGCACAACTAGGTGAGTACACACTGCTCCAGCCCTAGTAGTAACGCGGCTGGTGGAAGCAGCAATGACAAACACGACTGAACTGAAGAACTCCTCAGACTTGACTGGCACTGTAGAGGTAAAACTAATATTCCCTGGATTACTATACTCAAGATGGGGAGCACACCTGCAGGAGGACATTCCAGCGTCGGGGTCCATCACCACCTGACCTTCCCCACCAGGACAGGCTCACCACTCGTCCACCTTCGCATCACTTGTCTTAAGTGTCTTCAATATATCTAATGCACAAGATATCAAGTTGTTAAGTAGCCACAACTTGAAGCTTTCCAAGTAAATCGACAACAGCAAGTACTTTGTCTCTCAGATTTGTCTCCTCTGTCTGTCTATGGAACAATGGTCATCTTTATAATACTACAGGATTATGGGAGGATTGCGATACCAAGAGGTTGCTGCGCGGGCAAGGCCACCAGTTCTTAGATATGTGGGTCTGTAGGGCAGTGGTGGTGGTGGTGGGCAGCGGCGGTGGGCAGGACAGGTACCAAGGCCGCCACGTCAGCAGACCAAGGTCACTACATCAGCAGACCAAGGTCACTACATCAGCAGACCAAGGTCACTACATCAATAGCAGGCCCAAGTTCAATCCCCGATGATTCAAGTACCGAACGGTTAGATAAATGTGTGACGTGTCAGGCCATGATTGGCCTACACTAGACGCGTGTATAGAGCTGTGTCAGATACACGGCTGTGTCAGATACACGGCTGTGTCAGATACACGGCTGTGTCAGATACACGGCTGTGTCAGATATCTCAGTGTTGACGAGTTGGTTGTAGTAGTGGAGGGTAATGTTGACATGTTATTTATTATGAAGACACGTATTATAAACGTTGTTACCGAAGGAGCGAGAGTATTAGTGGAGGTTGTTGCCCCGTGTGAAGGCCTGGACACGTGGTGGTGGTGGTGGTGGTGGTGGTGGTGGGGGTGGGGGTGGTAGTGGTGGGCAGGTTAATACCCCCAGAGGCCCCCCTCCTGCTGCTGCTGGGCTGCCTTCACCTTCCCCCTGCTCCTCTTCTTCCACAGTGGCCTATACTAGTTGTGTAGGCTGCTGTCTCTCTCTGTTTGTTCTTATTGTCTTGTGGTTTCTCCTGCTGCTGCTCCTTCTCTTGCTCTTGTTCCTGTTCCTCCTGCACCTGTTGCTGCTCCTGCTGCTGCTGTTCGTGCCAGTAAGACAGATGTGTACACATGTGTTAAGAAAGACTGTTCCTTTGCAGGTTATCGAGGAGTGGTGTGGCGGCCTGGTGCCTGGTGAGTATACACACGTGTCCTCTACTACACCTCACCTCGCTGCCTCCAAGGTGGCCTGCTTCACCTCCTGGTCACACACAACAGTTGCATTTGTTACGGAGTGCAACTCTTGTGTCTAACCACACACGTACCAACCCAAGCAACCCACCTAACCTAGTGAGTTGAACTGTAGAAAACGTCCATATTACAGGACTTTAATATTAGTAATATACGTGACATTTACAATGCATTGGTGTAGTCCGTGACCAACACGAGGCTTTGAGAGGCCGGGTTGAGGCAACTCTCAATACTTACACTTTATATTATTAACAATTGTCACCAAAAGCTTACATACACATACGGGCTCACCATAGCCCGTGCTACTTGGAACTGCTTGTTCCAAGAAGCGAATCTTTAACAACAACAACAACAATACATACACAATCGCCAGCTGGAATCCAAATCGACGAATAAATATTATCCAAGCTACTTGCGATGATTCCGGGGTTCAACGTGCCCGCGGCCCGGTCCCCGACCTGGCCGACCTAACCCATACCCGTAGAAATGTGATTCGTGTGTCGACCCTCCAGAACACTAATATATCTGGGCTGGTTAGCGAGGCCGTCTTGGACCACCAGGCTACCACGTGACTAACAACCACGTGACTAACAACCACATGTCAAACAACCACATGTCAAACAACCACATGTCAAACAACCACATGTCAAACAACCACATGTCAAACAACCACATGTCAAACAATGAAAAGTCAAACAACAACACGCCAAACAAAAGCAAAAATGGAAGAAGTTAGCAGCGACCAAATAAAGCATAAGAGTTAGTAAGTCCTTAAACAAGTACGTAATAGCCTGGAACTAAGATGAACCTACCGCACAGATCACTACCCAGCGACTGAACACCTGGGCAGTGTAGCAACCTGTGTGTAGCACCTGAGAGGCGCATAAACACATTAACCACAGCTAAGTCCACTGACTAGTTGACAGAGAAAGAGAGAGAGAGAGAGAGGGAGAGGAAACGAGAGAGAGGGAGAGAGGGAGAGGGAATACCTCAGTACTAGAGTTAAGATTTCTTCCTTCTGGGTGGTGATGCCTTGTGTGAGAGGTGTGAGGTTGGTCTGTGGTGGTTATGAGGTACAAGTGCAGAAGACATTGTTGTTGTGGCTGTGATGATCTGCTCATCAGAGCCGCCTGTACTCCCACAGTTAGTGTCCTTGACTGTAAGGTATTCATCACCGGGTGTTGCTCACTCTTATACACCTTGTGTGTCAAGTGTGTCTTAACTTGGTATGGTCTCTCTGTATTGTATTTATTATTTGTGTCTGAAGAATCGAGCTATTAGCTCTTTGACCCCGCCTTTCTAATTTGCCTTTATTATATCCCAGGAAGCAGCTGTCTGACTCCCAGGTACCTATTTACTGCTAGGTAAACAGGATCATCAGGGTGAAAGAAACTCTGCTCATTTGTTTCTGCCAGGGATCGAACCCAGGACCTTAGGACTTCGATCCCAGAGCGCTGTCCACTCAGCCGCGAGGCCCCCTGTATTCACCCGATGTGTGTGTGTGTGTGTGTGTGTGTGTGTAATCGCCTATTTGAGCTCTGGCTCTGTGGTCCCGCCTCTCAACTGTCAACTGGTGTACAGATTCCTGAGCCTACTGGGCTCTATCATATCTACATTTAAAACTGTGTATGGAGTCAGCCTCCACCACATCACTGCCTAATGCATTCCATCCGTTAACTACTCTGACACTAAAAAGTTCTTTCTAACGTCCCTGTGGCTCATTTGGGTACTCAGTTTCCACCTGTGTTCCCTCGTTCGCGACCCACCCGTGTTAAACAATTTATCCTAATCTTCCCTGTCAATTCCTCCGAGAATAATGTAGGTAGTGATCATGTCTTCCTTACTCTTCATTTTTCCAGTGTCATTAGGTGCATTTCCCGCAGCCTTTCCTCGTAACTCATGCCTCTTAGCTCTGGGACTAGCCTAGTGGCATACCTCTGAACTTTTTCCAGCTTCGACTTGTGCTTGACAAGGTACGGGCTCCATGCTGGGGCCGCATACTCCAGGATTGGTCTTACATATGTGGTGTACAAAGTTCTGAAAGATTCCTTACACAGGTTCCTGACGGCAGTTCTGATGTTAGCCAGCCTCGCATATGCCGCAGACGTTATTCTTTTTATGTGGGCTTCAGGAGACAGGTTTGGTGTGATATCAACTCCTAGATCTTTCACTGTCAGTTTCATGAAGGACTTCATCTCCCATTCAGTACCTGTGTTCTCACCTAGTTGTGCTTGCGGGGGTTGATGACACGTGGTGCTACTGGGGGTCGTGTTGATGACACGTGGTGGTACTGGGGGTCGTGTTGATGACACGTGGTGCTACTGGGGGTCGTGTTGATGACACGTGGTGGTACTGGGGGTTGTGTTGATGACACGTGGTGGTACTGGGGGTCGTGTTGATGACACGTGATGGTACTGGGGGTCGTGTTGATGACACAGGTGGTACTGGGGGTCGTGTTGATGACACGTGGTGGTACTGAGGGTCGTGTTGATGACACGTGGTGGTACTGGCGGTCGTGTTGATGACACGTGGTGGTACTGGGGGTCGTGTTGATGACACGTGATGGTACTGGGGGTCGTGTTGATGACACAGGTGGTACTGGGGGTCGTGTTGATGACACGTGGTGGTACTGAGGGTCGTGTTGATGACACGTGGTGGTACTGGCGGTCGTGTTGATGACACGTGGTGGTACTGGGGGTCGTGTTGATGACACGTGGTGGTACTGGCGGTCGTGTTGATGACACGTGGTGATACTGGCGGTCGTGTTGATGACACGTGGTGATACTGGCGGTCGTGTTGATGACACGTGGTGGTACTGGGGGTCATGTTGATGACACGTGGTGGTACTGGGGGTCATGTTGATGACACGTGGTGGTACTGGGGGTCATGTTGATGACACGTGGTGGTACTGGGGGTCGTGTTGATGACACGTGGTGGTACTGGGGGTCGTGTTGATGACACGTGATGGTACTGGGGGTCGTGTTGATGACACGTGGTGCTACTGGGGGTCGTGTTGATGACACGGGTGGTACTGGGGGTCGTGTTGATAACACGTGGTGGTACTAGGGGTCGTGTTGATGACACGTGGTGCTACTGGGGGTCGTGTTGATGACACGGGTGGTACTGGGGGTCGTGTTGATGACACGTGGTGGTACTGGAGGTCGTGTTGATGACACGTGGTGGTACTGGGGGTCGTGTTGATGATACGTGATAGTACTGGGGGTCGTGTTGATGACACGTGATGGTACTGGGGGCCATGTATCCCCACGTGTTGATACACTAGGAGGTGGGTGGGTGTGGTAGGCGTGTCCCCGTGACGTGCTCTGGAATACACATTAGTATGTGTCGTGTGTATGCTCAGCACGTGTCCGCCCAGCCCCCTGTATGATGTATGCCAGTGGGGTGTATGATGGGGTGGAGGGAGGGGGGGGGTATACCCCGCTGAGCCGTCTTCCTCTTGCATTATAATGGTCCAGCCGACCTTATTGTGTCTCGTAGCGGTCACCCTTCTCTCTGTGGTAGTCTGTGGTGGTGCTGGGGGCTGCAAGGGTGGTGGTGCTGGGGGCTACAAGGGTGGTGGTGCTGGGGGCTACAAGGGTGGTGGTGCTGGGGGCTACAAGGGTGGTGGTGCTGGGGGCTACAAGGGTGGTGGTGCTGGGGGCTACAAGGGTGGTGGTGCTGAGGGCTACAAGGGTGGTGGTGCTGGGGGCTACAAGGGTGGTGGTGCTGGGGGCTACAAGGGTGGTGGTGCTGGGGCTACAAGGGTGGTGGTGCTGGGGCTACAAGGGTGGTGGTGCTGGGGGCTACAAGGGTGGTGGTGCTGGGGCTACAAGGGTGGTGGTGCTGGGGGCTACAAGGGTGGTAGTGCTGGGGGCTACAAGGGTGGTGGTGCTGGGGGTTACAAGGGTGGTGGTGCTGGGGCTACAAGGGTGGTGGTGCTGGGGGCTACAAGGGTGGTGGCGCTGGGGGCTACAAGGGTGGTGGTGCTGGGGGCTACAAGGGTGGTAGTGCTGGGGGCTACAAGGGTGGTGGTGCTGGGGGTTACAAGGGTGGTGGTGCTGGGGCTACAAGGGTGGTGGTGCTGGGGGCTACAAGGGTGGTGGTGCTGGGGGCTACAAGGGTGGTGGTGCTGGGGGCTACAAGGGTGGTGGTGCTGGGGGCTACAAGGGTGGTGGTGCTGGGGGTTACAAGGGTGGTGGTGCTGGGGGCTACAAGGGTGGTGGTGCTGGGGGCTACAAGGGTGGTGGTGCTGGGGGCAACAAGGGTGGTGGTGCTGGGGGCTACAAGGGTGGTGGTGCTGGGGGCTACAAGGGTGGTGGTGCTGGGGGCTACAAGGGTGGTGGTGCTGGGGGCTACAAGGGTGGTGGTGCTGGGGGTTACAAGGGTGGTGGTGCTGGGGGCTACAAGGGTGGTGGTGCTAGGGGCTACAAGGGTGGTGGTGCTGGGGGCTACAAGGGTGGTGGTGCTGGGGGCTACAAGGGTGGTGGTGCTGGGGCTACAAGGGTGGTGGTGCTGGGGCTACAAGGGTGGTGGTGCTGGGGCTACAAGGATGGTCGGTCCCTTTAATCTGGCACGCCTCCAGCAACACCCCCCCCCCCCCTCGTGCTCCAATCACACTATCTCCCCCCCAAAAAAGTGTGAAAATTTATGGATTGTATAACAAGAGTCGTGGTGTGTGTGTGTGTGTGTGTAACAAGAGCCGTGGTGTGTGTGTGTGTGTGTAACAAGAGCCGTGGTGTGTGTGTGTGTAACAAGAGTCGTGGTGTGTGTGTGTGTGTGTGTAACAAGAGTCGTGGTGTGTGTGTGTGTGTGTAACAAGAGCCGTGGTGTGTGTGTGTGTGTAACAAGAGCCGTGGTGTGTGTGTGTGTAACAAGAGTCGTGGTGTGTGTGGGTGTGTGTAACAAGAGCCGTGGTGTGTGTGTGTGTGTGTAACAAGAGCCGG